AATTCTGGCAGTGCTTAGTAATATTAAGACCAAGATCAGAACTCACATTTTAAAATTCTACCTAGTCCTGTTACTTTTCTGTTTCTGCCAGCCTTGCTTTTAAAATATTTTAAATATTAATTAAGAAAGAAAGTTCAATGACTCAGGTAATATATGAACTTGTCTCCTTAAAACAAATAAAATACATTTTCAAATAAATTACAAATAAAGCCAAAGTCCCCTTTGGCCAACTCCCAATCCTTATCTGCCTACCCCTGCCCAGACGTAACTCATGGGTATGAGTTTGGTTTGGTCCTTATCTTTCTAGATCATTTCCTAAATGTACTTATAGAAAATATGTCTTATTGTGTTGTGTGTGGTTTTTAGAACATAAATGATATCATACTGACTGTAGTATTCTGCAATTGTTATTTTTTGCTCAGCTGTATATAACTTAAGACTTTTTTAATATTGGGTTGGCAAACTTCTTCTGTAAAAGGCCAGATGGTAAAGATTTGGGGCTTTGCGAGCCCTCCTGTCTCTGTTGCTAACTACTCAACTCTGCCTTTGTAGCATGAAAGCAGCCATAGACAATATGTGGATGAATGAGTGTGGCCATGTGCTGATAAAACTATATTTATAAAAACCAGTGGTGTGCCGGATTCGGCCTCTGGTCCCAGTTTGCTGAATCCTATTTCTTCACCATCCCCCTCTCTCTTTTTGTGTATGTATGTGTGTATAGATATTTTTAACAGCTTTTATTGAGATAGAATTCACATACGTTACAATTCACCCTTTTAAAGTGTACAATTCAGTGGCTTTTAGTGTATTCATAGAGTTGGGCATCCATTACCACAGCCAATTTTAAAACATTTTCATTACCCCAAAAAGGAACCTTGTACCTATTCAGTATTAATACATATAGGTTTACTCTGTTCAACTGCTAGATATAGTATTTATTAGTATGGATATACTATCGTTTGTTTAAACCATTCTTTTTTATTTTTTGAGTGGATGAAATTTTCTCAGTAGGACATTTTATTAAGAAGGTAACACATACATATATATACATGGTTAAAAACAAAACGAAAGGTGATACGGACTGTTCAGTGAGGGGAAGATGTTTGCTCTTCAGCACTGGCCCCTCCTCTCCTTCCCAGAGGCAGTCACTCTTACTGGATTCTTTTGTGTCCCTTCAGAGATAGTCTGTGCATATAAGTGTGCATATTTTCCACCCTCCATCTTCTAGCCTGCTTCTCTTTTGTTAATCGTCTGTTCTGCATCTTGATTTTTTTTACAAAACAGTTTCTCTAAGTGATAGTTCCTTGTCATTGATTCCATTGTATAGATGTAATTTATTTAAACTTATTCCCCATTGTTGGACATTCTAATTTTTCATTTTTCTGCTTCTAGAAACAGTATTACAGAGAATGTCCTTGACTAATCTTTTTACATATGTGAATTTATCTCTTGGATAATTCCAAGAAGTACAATTGCCACATCAAAGGGTTGTTAGGTTTTGTTGTTGTTGTTGTTGTTTTGATGGATATTGACAAATTGTCCTCCAAAGAAGGTTGTTAATGGCTCTGCCCTTAACCAGGTGGGAGGGTGCCCAGTCCCCTGCCTTTGCCAGGAGTGTATCACTAAGTGGTTTGCTCTTCCTCTGTGTGATTTGCTTGCCTCCGTTTTTCCCGAAAATGACATATGAGTAACAAAGCATTGCAAGACTGGGCTGCTTGCTTGTCTTTTTCTTATGACTTGTAGGAGTTGTTTATGTATTCTCTGCTGTTAGTTATATGTTGCAACAGTCTTCTCCCAGCTTGTAGCTTTTCCACATTGTTGTTTTGCTTGTTTTTTGGGAGCAGAAGTTTGCATTTTAAGTAGGTAAACTGTATTTTTCTTTTGGCTTATGGTTTGTGCTTTTTGTGTCTTGTACATCATACCACAGGGTCATTATTTGCCTATATTTTTTTCTAAAATGTTTCATGGCATTTAGGTCTTTAATCTATACAGAATTGGTTTTGGTGTATAACATGAGGTGGTCAGGTACAATTGCATACATAAAGGTAGCCTAAATCATCCTTTCTTTCCTCATTGTTATGTCTTGCCAACTCAGGTGTAAAGTTTTTATATACACATGGTTCCGTTAGTTCTATTGTCTGTTGTTATATCCCTGGGTCAGTATAATATTGTTGTAAATTATTATTATTCTCTAATAAGTTTTAATATCTGGGGGAGCAAATCTCCTCTCCTTGTTCTTTAAGGATATCTTGGCTATTCTTAGCACTTTACAGTTCCATATAAAATTTTAAAACAACAAAATTACATATTTTGCAGAAGCCCCTCACTTATTCTTGTATAGCACCTTTTACTTCCTCCTTTTACCCTAGTATAATAAGAGATTCAGGGAGTAGTTTTTAATAGCACATTATGTATCAATTTGGAAACACAAATAGGAGAGGAGACCTCCTCCTCCTTGCTCCCGTTGGCCACATGTGATGCTTAGACTTGCTCTGTATTTAGTCTAGGCCTGGCTTCTGATTTCTAGACCAGTGTACCCAGCTGCCTGTTCAGCTTCTCCACAGTTGTGGCTCACAACACAGCGCAGCATGAGCTGCTGCTTTGACCGTGTTCTTTTGCAGTAGATGGCACTACAGCCTATGACTGCTGTGCCAGAAATCTAGAAACCATCCTTCTAAATAGTTGTCAGATCTTTTCACTTCCTTTCATTGGAGGCACTGCCCCACCTTTGGGCAAGGAAACCTTGTTCCTCACCAGGACAGTTATGATGTCTCTTTCGTCCTTGCTTCCAGTCCTGCCGCCTTCCAACCAGTCTCTAAATGGAGTGATCTGTTAAAAATGACAATTAAAATATTTCCTTTTAAAATCCGTCGGTGGTTTCCCACTTCTCTTGGGACAATATTGAGTCCTTAATGTGACCTACACGGCCCTGCAGCGTCTGCTGCTCTGCGATATCTTTCCAGCTTGTCTTTGAGCCGCAGCCCATCTGCGTTCTTTCAGACTCACTGAGCTCAGAGGCGTGTGCCCAGGACCTGCTGGGGTCCCTCTGCTCCCTGCACTGCTGCCACCTTCGCCTGGCTCCTGCCTGCCTCTCCCTCACCTCTCCCTACACTTTCTCAGGGAAGCCTTCCCTTACCATCCGAACTTGGTCAGATCCTTCTATCATGTGATACTATCGGGCTCTGTACCTTTTTATTGTAGTTCCTATCACAAGCATAATAAATTATTTTTGTAGTATTCTATTTAATTCTATTCTTGTTAGTCTGAGGCTTCATGAGGACAGAACCTGTATCTGTACTGTTCTCAATGAGAGAAAGAGGAAACAAACACCAGTTATCTAAAATAATTGTTCCCCAGCCTTACAGAGACAAGGCTGATCCTTTTCTTTTTTTCTTTTTTTTTTAAGGAAGATGTTGGGGTAGGAGTTTATTAATTAATTTATTTTGCTGTATTGGGTCTTCATTTGTGTGCGAGGACTTTCTCTAGTTGTGGCAAGCGGGGGCCACTCTTCATCGCGATGCGCGGGCCTCTCCTATCACGGCCTCTCTTGTTGCGGAGCACAGCCTCCAGACGCGCAGGCTCAGTAGTTGTGGCTCACAGGCCCAGTTGCTCCACGGCATATGGGATCTTCCCAGACCATGGCTCGAACCTGTGTTCCCTGCATTAGCAGGCAGACTCTCAACCACTGCGCCACCAGGGAAGCCCCTGATCCTTTTCTTTTTATTAAAAAGTATTGATTGAAAATGGGCCAGGTGGGATTAGAAAAGTCCCTGAATTCATCATACCTGCTCTTTTCCTTAAACCACAGTTTCTTTAAGAGCTTATAAACTTCCAGTTAGATTGATCCCCTCCTGTTAATACGTTTATTTTGTGATGGACATTAAGGTGAAATGCAGTCAAAGATTCAAATATGGGAAAGTGAGCAAAGAAATGCACAAGAAACAAGGGTTCACCTTCCTCTTTCCCTCTCTCTCCCCTCCCCCACCTCTGAGATAGAATTCATATAAATAGTTAGATGAGGATGAGGTGGCCAGTTGGTCACTTATTCTTATATTTATTCAGCAAATATTTATTGAGCACGTAACGTATGCCAGGCTCTCTGGCCAGGCCCTGAGATACGGACGTAATCATTGTGCTCGCCTTCTGGCACTTCATAGTTTAGTGGGTGGATGGATTTGTAGCCAACATTTGTTGAGCATTTAGTGTCAGCCTAATTCCTCACAACTATTCTGTGAGGGTAAGTAGTAATTTTTCCACTGAGAAAACTGAGCCACAGGATGGTAAGTAATTTGCTCACAGTCATTCACTTCATAAATTGTAGAGCCAGGATTCAAACCCATTGTCTTAATCATGATTCTGTATGACCTGTAAGAAAACAACGCAGTCCCAGCAGAGTGAGCTAAGCGCTGTGTATAAAAGACCACCCCATTTGTTGGGGCAAAGGTGGTGGGAGTGGCATGGAAGACTTACTAGAGAAGGCATGGTTTGCATCAAGGTCTTGAAAGGTGAGGCTGCATGGGGTGCTGGAAGGGTGGAGGTGTGGGGTTCCTTCAAACACAGAAGACACTGAGTAAAGGGCTGAAGAAGAAAGGGAGCATGTTTGGTTTTAGGAACTGAAAAAAATTCAGTATGATTGGAGCATATCTGGTCATTTATTTGGGGGACAGTGGTGAGCCATTTGACAGAGAGGAGTGGGAGAAACAGCTGTGTGTTGTAGAAAGCTCACTGGGTGTAGTATTGGGAGCTTAGTGAAAGGGCCCAAGACCTCAGGCACTGCTGCCTGGTCAGGACTGCAGCCTCATTTCCTTGCACCCCACACGTATTTATTGAGCACTGCTATGTGCCAGGCACTGTTCTGAGGGCTGGGAATACAGTAACAAAATAAAGTCCCTGCTGTCGTGGCACTTACATTTCAGTAGTTGACAGTAAATATATGATATCAAGTCATGAAGAAAAAGGAAGCAGAGAAGGAATAAAGAGGTACAGGCTTCTGTTTTAAATTAGGTATTCAGGGAAGGCCTCTAATGTGACATGTTAGCTGAGGCCTGAAAGAAACGAAGACCGAACCATGTGTGTATCTGGGAGAAAAGTGTTAAAGGAAAAGTGTTAAAGTAAAAACTCTAGGCTGGGAACATGCTTAGCACTTTCAAGAAAAAGCCAGGAAGACAGTGGCTGGAGCAGAATAATGGGAGAGGGGGGGCAAACAGGGCTAAAGAGAGTCAGCTGACATGTTCTGTAGCTCCTAGAAGGCATGGAAAAGACTTTGGACTTTGTTCTGAGTGAGAATGAGGGTGCCATTGAATACTTCTCAACTGAGCAACAATATGAACTTACCTTAAGGGCTCACTCTGGCTGCTCTGAGGAAGATAGATTGTGGAGGAGCAGAGGAGAAGTAGGAAAACCTGTCCGGACGCTTTGGAATAGCTCAGGTGAGAGATGTTCGTGGCTTGGGCTACATGATAGCAGTGAATGTGTTGAGAAGTGGTCGGATTCTGGATATATTTTGAAAATGGAGTCAACAGTATGTGCTGATAGATGGGCTATGAGGTGAGAGGGAAAGAAATTAAGAATAACAGGTTTGGGGGCTGAGGATCAGGAAGAAAAAAAAGAGTTGTCATTTACTGAATGAGTGGGGAAAGATAGCCAAAGCAATTGAAAAGAAGAAAGGATATAGATGTTTAATATCAGCCATTTACCCTACCAGAAAATTTTAATCTCAAGTACATTAAAGGAGCAGATCTTATAATTAAATGTGTACACCTGCACCATGAAACCACCAATGAGTGATCACACAGAGCTTTCAAAACTCAGAGCTAAGAGGTTGCCTGTCTCTGTGCTGTGGTGACAGCCATGTGACCACAGAGGGAAGCCTGGTTGTGGAGCAGGTATGTGAGGTACGCTTGCTGCTGCTTGGGAGAAATCCAGTTTCATTGAGGAAATGAGCAAGTTTGACTTGAATTGCTAATACTGTCTATATTCCAAAAGGAAAAAAAAAAGTGAGGCTCTCTTTAGTTTAATCGAAACCTGTGCTGTCTATAGCACGTGTGGCAGCAGGCATACCTCAGAGGTACTGAGGGTTGGTTCCAGACCACCACAATAAAGCGAATATTGCAACAGAGGGAGTCACATGAATTTTTTGGTTTCCCAGTGTCTAAAGAAACAATGTACATATCTTAGTTAAAAAATACTTTATTGCTAAAAAATTGCTAACCATCATCTGAGCCTTCAGTGAGTCATAATCTTTTTGCTGGTGGAGGATCTTCCCTCATGTTAATGGCTACTGAGTGACCAGGGTGGTGGTTGCTGAAGGCTGGAGTGGCAATTTCTTAAAATACGACAAAAATGAAGTTTGCCACCATTGATTAACTCTTCCTTTCACGAATGATTTCTCTGTAGCATGCAGTGTGTTTGATAGCATTTTATTCACAGCAGAACTGTTTTCAAGATTGGAGTCAATTCTGTTAAACCGTACTGCTACTTTATCAACTAAGTTTATGTAGTATTCTAAATCCTTTATTGTGATTTCAACAACCTCCACAGCATCTTCACTGAGAGTAAATTCCATCTCAAGAAATCACTTTCTTTGCTCATCCCTGAGAAGCAGCTCCTCACCTGTTAGAATTTTATCATGAGATTGCAGCAATTCAGTCATATCTTCAGGCTCCACTTCTAATTCTAGTTCTCTTGCTAAGTAATCTGCAGTTACTTCCTGCACTGAAGTCTTGAACCCCTCAGAGGCATCCATGAGGGTTGGAGTCAACTTCTTCCAAACTCTTGTTAATATTGATATTTTGTCCCCTTCCCATGAATTATGTATGTTCTTAATGGCATCTGGAATGGTGAATCCTTTCCAAAAAGTTTTCAATTTACTTTGCCCAAATCCATCAGAGGAATCACTAATTATGGCAGCTGTAGCCTTAGGAAATGTATTTCTTCAATAATAAAACTTCATAGTCGAAATTACTCCTTGATCCATGGACTGCAGAATGGATATTGTGTTAGGCATGAAAACAACATTAATCTCATTGTATATCTCTATCAGAGCTCTTGGATGACTAGGTGCATTGTCAATGAGCAGTAATAGTTTGAAAGGAGTCTTTATTTCTGAGCAGTGGATCTCGACGTCGAACTTTATATATTCAGTAAACCGTGTTGTACACAGATGTGCTGTCATCCAGGCTTTGTTTTTCCATTTATAGAGCACAGGCAGAGTAGATTTGGTAGAATTCTTAAGGGCACTAGGTTTTTGGAATGGTAAATGTACACTGGCTTCAACTTAAAGTCACCAGCTACATTAGCTCCTAACATTGAAACTTTGAAGCCGTGCTTTGACTTCTCTTCTCTAGCTATGAAAGTCCTAGGTAGCATCTTCTTCCAATATAACGCTGTTTCATCCATACTGAAACATGTTGTTTAGTGTAGCCACCTTCATTAATTATCTTCTGGATAATTTGTTGCAGCTTCTACATCAGCACTTGCTGCTTCACCTTGCATTTTGATGTTATGGAGTTGGCTTCTTTCTTGGAACCTCATGAATCAACCTCTGCTAGCTTCAGACTGTTCTTTGGACGTTTCCTCACCTCTCTCAGCTTTCACATCATTGAAGAGAGTTAGGGCCTTGCTTTGAATTAGACTTTGGCTAAATTAGGGAATGTCGTGGCTGGTTTGATCTTCTATTCAGCCCACTCAGACTTTCTCCATATCAGCAAAAAGGCTGCTCTGCTTTCTTATTATTCCTGTGTTCACTGGATTAACACTTTTAATTTCCTTCGAGAACATTTCCTTTGCATTCACAACTTGTCTACCTGTTTTGCACAAGAAGCCTAGCTTTTGGCCTATCTCAGTTTTCAACATGCCTTCCTCACTAAGTGTAATCATTTCTAGCTTTTGATTTAAAGTGAGAGACATGTGACTCTTCATTTGAACAGTTAAAGGCCTGATTTCAATATTGTTGTGTCCCAGGGGACAGGGAGGCCTGAGGAGAGGGAGAGAGACTGGGGAACGGCTGGTTGGTGGAGCAGTCAGAACACATAACAGCATGTATTGATTAAGTTTGCTGTCTTATTATGGGCGTGATTCATGGCAACCCTAAATAATTAAAATAGTCACATCTAAGATCACTGATCACCATAACAAGTATAATAATGATGAAAAAATTTGAAATATTTTGAGAATTATCCTAATGTGATACAGAGACAGAAAGTGAGCAAATGCTGTTGGAAAATGGCACTGATGGACTTGATCTAGGAGGGGTTGCCACAAACCTTCAATTTGTAAAAATTGCAGTCAGTATCTCTGAAGTGCAATAAAGTGAAGTGCAATAAAATACGTGCCTGTATTTACATTTAAAGTAAACAAAAAATTCAGTTCTGCAGTCACACTAGCCACGTTTCAAGTGCTCAGTAGCCACACGTGACTAGTAGACATATTAGACCTTGTAGATACAAAATGTTGGCCTGTGCAGATAAGTGATGTTTTGCTGCTTTACTTTCAAGTATCCTGCTTCAAAATGATGAACACTTAGGGTTTTATAATGTCCAAAAATATTAGTGTTTCTAAACACAAATGTGATGCATATAATAGTACCTCTGTCCAAATCCTGGTAATCTTTCTGACCAGGTTAGTGTGCTGTTGGAATTATGGGGAAGAGTCACTACTATAAGAGTGTGAATTTTAAGAAACCCACTATTATTATATTCATTTTCCCATTTTGAATCTTTCTGAAAATTCTAATACTACACTGGACATTTCAAGAGAGTAACATTAAGAGACCCTATATTAGCTAGTGTGTTTATTTATCTTCAGATTCAGTGTTTATGCAAACTGACCTGGAGGGCAGTCAGCTGAAGCTCTAGAAGTTAATTCCATAAAACACATCCCTGGAGGAACCTGAGATGAGACACCTGATAAGTGTCTCAGGTCTTCTCTTGGTACAGTAGGTAAAATCCTCTTGATGAAACACAAGAAAATAAATGAAAGAGATAAGTGATTAGAAAAATCCATAGCAGAATGGTGAGAAATTATTTTTAGCTTTTCAAAAATGAAAGATTTTACAAATGGTAATCCCAAATGTGATGAAACAGGAACATTGATGGTAGAAGTTTATTAAAGCAGTTGTGGAAAGAAGTTTAGTAGTATGTTAGATCCTGAGAAATGGGAGATTTTTTTGCCAATATATCTACTTCTATTAATTTATTCCAAGGAAGCAGTCTTAAGTACAGGAATTATTTTCTGTATGAAAATTTTACCCTTTATTATATATAATTTTTAAAATGGAGGCATTTTCAGTGCCCAAATATAGAGGAAAAATTAAGTAATTAGACTATGATTACAATTATGAGTAATTTTTTAAAATGTATAGAAGGAAAGCTGAAAGAAGCCTATCATCAGTGTTGACAGTAGTTATTAGAGAATGCTGGTTTTTGCTTTGATGCTTTTCTAAATTTTTAGTTTTTCATTAACAAAAAAGTAATATTACTTGGGGAAATTCTGTTTGGGAACATTATACCATCTGACTTTCTGGCTCTTTGTTCTGTGTTGAATTATTAGTCAAGTTTTAGGTTTTTGTTTAGATTTTTTATTTCCTCCATCGTTGCTTTTTTTTCCTGTAATAACATGGCACAATGCATAACTGGTTTTTAGAACTCCAAGCAGTGCCTGTGCCTGTGTAACTTAGCTAATTGCATTTGGTGCTTTCTAAAACTTTTAAGAACAGTAATCACATAAATAGTAAATTATGGTACAATGCTTATACATATATTTTGTAAAATTCTGACTTTCCTGCTTTTAGGATTTTGTAATGTCCAAAAGTATTTGAGCTTTTAGACACAAATGGGAAGCTTATAATAACCTCCGTACAAATCCTGGTAATGTTTTTGAACAGTTCAGTTTATATATTCCAATCCTCAGAGTAACCAGTAAAAAAAAAAAAAAAAAAAGCTAATGCAAAGAAGTATAGCTAAACTGTCAATGGAGACATTAAAATGGAATGTTAAAAAATGTTCTGATAGTACAAAGAAAAAAATGGTAGTAAAGGGAAGAAGAGGGACAATAGAGGAGACAGATGGAAAACAAATAATAAAATGGTAAATCTAAACTCAACTATATCAATAATTATATTAAACATTAATGGATTGAACACTCCAATTAAAAGTTAGAAATTATCAGAAAGGTAAGTAGACAAAACTCAATTACGTGCTGACTACAAAGATAATACTTTAAATATAAAGGTACAGGTAGGTTGAAAGTAGATGAATGGATGGGATATATCATGGAAATATGTTATGCAAATGGCAAGCATGTGAAGGCCCGAGTGGCTATGTTAATATCATATAAAATAGATTGCAAGACATAGACTATTACCAGAACTAAAGAGAGACATTTCACAGGGACATATGGGGCACTTCATTATGAGGAATAATAGTCATAA